GTGGCACATGGCCCGGTGGATCCTGGTGGCCGCTGCCGAGCAGTGACGGGCCCGGTGCGGCCCAGTGCTGCCCCGTGGTGTGGTGTTTCCCCACCGGAAGGTCTCGGAAGCCACCCAGGTGGTCCCTATGTCCCACTCGCTGGCCGCCGCCCAGGCCCCGTTGGTGCTTTGGAGACCACAACAACCCCGCTCCGCCAAACGCTCCTGGCACTGCCCCGGGGCGCGGATCGGGGGCCGAGCAGGACAGGGAGCAGACACGGCACTTGTACGTACGCACAGGTTTTCCCGGCGGCAGGAAAACGTGCCTTGAGCGCGCTCCCGTTGGCGCTGGATGGAGACGGATGGGGACGGACCGGGACCGGGACCGGGACCGGGGGCGGAGCCTGGGCCCGAGCGAAGGTGACGTGTGTGTTGGGGGCGTGGCCTGCGCAGCGGCGCTATAAACGCCGGCCGCCGAGCCGCTGTCGCCGCCGCTCCCTCCGCCCCGCGTGTCTGTGTGTGTCCCGGCTCCCGGCCGCAATTCCTGCTGCGCCACAGCCATGGCGGCGCTGACGGTGAAAGCCTACCTGCTGGGCAAGGAGGAGACGGCCCGCGAGATCCGCCGCTTCACCCTGCCGCCGCCCGCCCGCTACCGGGCCATCTACGACCGCGTCGCCGAGCTGTTCCAGGGGCTGCTGCGGGCCGGGCCGCCGCCCGCCTTCCGCATGCACTACAAGGGTGAGCGGGGCTGGGGCCGGGCCCGGGGGTGGCAGATCACGGGGCTCTGGGTGCCCCGTTCCCCCCCGTGACACCCGACCGGGCCCCTCATCCTGCGCTTCGCCCTTTCCAGATGAGGACGGGGACCTGATCGCTTTTTCCACCGACGAGGAGCTGGAGCTGGCGATGCCCTACGTGCGGGATGGCGTATTCCGTGTTTATATCAAAGGTACGGCCGCGCAGCTCCGGAGGGCACGGCGGGTCTCGGCTGAGCGCTTCCTGGCAGCGCTCCCAAAACGGGAGAAGCCGGCCCTGGCCCTTCCCGTGTCCTCGAGGGCCTGCTGGAAACTGCGGCCTCTGCGGGGGAGGTTAAATAAAGGGCAGTGTAATATGACAGAACATGAATTTGAGGTGGGATAAACAAACCACAGGTTTCCTCCTGGCCCTATCAGCTGGCCCACTGCGAGGCTCTGTTGTCATTCTCGTTCCCTGGATACACTCAACTAGCACTGGTATCCTAAATATTCACAACGTGTTAGCCTTAATTCCTCTTTCCCAGTGGATAGCTGCTCCCTAGTCTGTTGTGTTCAGGTAGAAGCCCTCAAAGCTTTATCTGCAGTCCATCTAATGAGCCACACCTGTTGTCCCCGTTCTCATGTTATGCTTCCTGGCATCTGCATTCCTAACTCCTTCTCCAGAAACATTTTGTTCTTGCAGTGCTTAGGAAGGTAGGATGAGAAGCCAGATGAGGTGGTGCAGTACTAATCTGAATTAAGCATGCCGAGAGATATTTAGGATAAGGTATGCTTGGTTTCAGTAGAAGGTATCTTTGCAAAACCTCTTTGCACATGGTTTAAGGTCTCTTACATGAGCCCAGCTTAGGTTTGACAGCCAGTATAAAAATAAACTGACCTAGTAAGTCAACACTGCTCTGATGGGCTGTTTGTGCTTCCTCCTCTGCCTGACTTCCAGGCTGTAAATAGTAACCTGATCTTGATGTGAGTTTCCTTTCCCTAACAGAGAAAAAGGAGTGCAAGCGGGAGCACCGCTCGCAGTGCAGCCAGGAGCCTCCCCGCAACATGGTGCACCCCAACGTCATCTGTGACGGCTGTGAGGGACCTGTGGTGGGCACCAGGTTCAAGTGCAGTGTCTGTCCAGACTATGACCTGTGCAGCACCTGCGAGGGGAAGGGCATCCACAAGGAGCACAACATGGTGATGTTCCAAAGCCCACTGCTTAATCCATTTGAGGTGAGCAAAATCTATGGCAGGGAACTGACGAGTGGGAGAGTCCTCAAACTCAAGTTAGGAGTTTCAGTTGCTCAGAACCCAGTGTCACATGAATGTCACCCTTTACAGTGGCTTCCCCGAGGACGCTGGCTCCGTAAAATGCGCCATGGTGTTCCACCCTTCCCATGGATGCACTGCTGGGGGTATCCTGGGCCTGCAGCTCCCTGCCAGAACTCGGAGCAAGCTGAAGCCACTGCTGCAGCCCCCAGTGCACCTGCTGCAGAAGGTGAGAGGAGACCTGGTAGACAAGGTGGTGGTGGAGCCTCAGACCAGCTGAGGTTCTGCAGCACAGGGTAGAGTCTGGGTGGGAAAACAAACAAAGGAACAAATCTAATTTGCTTGAAATAATTGGCACCTTTCAGCACTAAGTATGATTACTTTAAGGTGTGCTTGGGTCCATGCAGTCAATAGGATAAAGTATCTGGAACCCAACCAAGTTGGGCTGTCAGGTCAAGCATGTCACTATTCTACTCCAGATCTGCCTTTCAGCATGGCTAATGAGCCATAACAATGCTAATGCTGGCTTTCTGTTCCAGAGGTAGCTCAGTTAGTTTCTCTCTGTAGTGCTTTGTTCTGTAATGTATGCGAGTGACAGGAATGAGCGCTAAGCTCCTCTGGGGACACACCCTCTGCAGGTGCCCTTTCCCTCCGAGCTTGTGTGTGCTAACAGAAATTGTTTTTCTAGAAGCTTCTACTAACAGCCAGCCTCAGGACCCCAATGTCACCTTCCTAAAGAATGTTGGGGAGAGTGTTGCAGCTTTTCTGAGTCCCCTGGGTAAGTGACCTACAGTTTGTTACCAGTCCCTGAGACTGGCTTACAGGTCTGTTTAACAGGAGCAGCAGTCAGTTGTTGTGACTGGTCTTGGCACTACTCCTGTATCCTAAGCCTCAAAGGCTTAATTTAGACTTGGATACTAATAATGCTTAGGCTTAGAACAGCCACTCAGTACCTTTTCTTTGAGAGAGAATGAGGAAAGATTTCATTTATGTGTCAGCACTGTAACACTAACTTCAATCAGTGGTGACTCTGGATTTTGTCTGGTTTATGTGGACATATTAAAGAAGGCTTTGCATTTTAATTCCTGCATGTTACATGGCAGATTGTAGGATGACAGAAACTTAAGAGTGTAGAGTATGATTGATCCATTTAGGACTGTGCTTTGGAAACCCCTCTTAGGACTTTGTCCATCTCAAATGCTTTTCTAGGTATTGAAGTTGATATCGATGTGGAACACGGAGGACAGAGAAGCAAAGTGACTCCCACTTCTGCCAACCAAGAGAACACCAATGCTGAGGCACCCAGCAGTGCTCCAACCCAGAATGTTCAGACCAAAGCAGACTGGAATAACACAGAGTCTGCTGCACAAGTAAACGTCATTGCAGAACAGATGCAAGACATGGTGGTAGATCCTGTGCCCACACAAATGGAAGATGGCATCTTCCACTCCCAGGTACAGGAACCATGACAGTAATTGAATGCAATCACTTAGCATGCACTGTGGGAGTGAATATTAAGATGAGAGCAGATTAAGTGATATACAGCACCTTTACAGATTTACAGCAAAGGTGGTGGGACTTATTGTGGATGTAATTCTTTACATCAAAGGCAAATAGGAGTGTGCATACTGCCTGGAAAGCACTACAGCACCTGGACCCTTTTTTTTTCCACTTTAGGAACACAGTGAGTCTAGCAGTTCATCGGGGGGCGAAGAGGACTGGACCCACTTATCATCCAAAGAAGTGGATCCTTCCACAGGTGAACTGCAGTCTCTGCAAATGCCAGACACAGACGGTCCCAGCTCCCTGGATGTGCCTCGGGATCCTCCCCAGCCAGGACCTACAGGACTGAGAGAAGCTGCTCTCTACCCACACCTGCCCCCAGGTAGGAGAGTGCTTCAGCAGGTTTCATAGCCAAGAGTAACTCTGGCTTGGGAACTGCCAGCTTGGCCTGACACAAGCAGACTTGTTTTAGAGGTGGTAAAAACCAAAGTTGTGTAAGACAGAGCTAAACCTGTCCCTGACCTGGCCAGGTTTGGCAGCTCTTGCACCCTGTTAGAGATGATCAGGTGGTTTCTCTCTTGAATGTGGGCTGCTAAGTCTTAACCATGTGTCTGACCTTGGGCTAATATGCCATTTGAGCAACACAAAATAGGTGCTGTCCTCAATCATGTCCTTGCTGTGTACTGCTCGAGAGCCTTTTAATGCAGGATGTGGACCAGTACATCCTGTGGCTTTAGAGCAGCACTTTGCTGCTGGGAGCCAGTAACAGTATCCAAGGCCCCTCAGCTGCCATCAGCAGCAGAGTCCCACAGCAAGGCCAGCTGAGCCTGACTAAGCACTTTCCTTAGCTCCGATTATACATTGTTTATCTCAAACATCTGCACTCCTGGGAGACAAAGAAGAGCATGTCTCCTCTCAAAGAGTGCTATTAAAGCCTTGCCTGGTTTTCCAATTACATGAAATAGCTGAACTCTATTCTTTCCACAGAAGCTGACCCTCGCCTCATCGAGTCTCTGTCCCAGATGCTCTCCATGGGCTTCTCTGATGAGGGTGGATGGCTCACTCGGCTCCTGCAGACCAAGAACTGCGACATTGGGGCAGCACTAGATGCCATCCAGTATTCTAAGCAGCCACCTCACTTGTAGTAGTAACATAAAGCACTTTTCTAGCTGAAAGCAGATAACGCATCATGAGCTGTTGTGGTTCATCATTCTTCCTACTCTGGGTTTCTGTCTCATGTTCTTAAGTACTTGTAGAATGGAGAAAAAATAAATACTAGTGCATGTCATGTGTCTGTGGAACAGTTCAGTATCACAGCTACATTATTTATGGATGAGGCTGAAAACATGAAGGACTGCCTTCCTGCACATACTTTGGTGTACACCTGGGGCTACACTTAGGAAGAGAAATCCAATGCTTTGCTGGCTCTAGAGCTTGCTTACAGCTCTGGAAGAAAGGGTTGCTATGGGAGATTTCAACAAAGATGTAGTTGGTGAAAAAGAGCTTTAGTTTTGAAGGAGGAGTCAATCACAGAATTTAATTGTACAGGCCAGGAATCCTAAAAGCCTGGGAGCTTTCCCCAAGCTGACCTAATTCCATTCCTATTTCTAGCTGCTGAGGTTGCTAGACAACCCTGCAACCTGAGAGCAACAGTCTCTTCTCCGTCCTTCTCTTCCCCCCAAACAACCATCAAGCAAGTAAACAACTTTAATAGTGCAGTTCTCTATGGCTTTGAGTGAAATCACCATTAGTTCAAAAGTGTATCAGTAAACATTATCTCAAATGCATTAGAGCCAAGAAAGACAGGCCAAAGATGCCTGAACTTCAGAGATCATCATCAAACTCCTCACCTGTGCAGAAGAGTTGCTCATGACAAATGTTGCTCAGCTTTGGTCTAGGGTAAGAGTTAACAAGGGTGTTTGCCCTCCCCGTGGCATCCAAGCAGCACCTTCCTGCTGCAGATCCCACCCTTAACACTTGCTTGTGAGGTTCTCTGAGCACATCCTCAACTGGGCACCTGCTGCTGGGCAGTGTTGAGGCCAGATCCTCAGTGCTAGCAACACACTTTTTAAATTCAAACCCTGTATCCTGAGGCAGAGTTCTTCCAGCCTGTTCTGAGCACCTCCAGGCCCCACCAGCAGCTGTGCTGTCCAGCCCCACACCCCCACTGCCCTCCTGCAGTGCCATGGTCACTGCAGCAGCATTTTCACTAGAGCTGCCACGTAATGAGAGAAATTTTCCCCACTTGGATGGTTTGGTACAAGCAGGTGGGGGCTGTGTATTCTCCTCTGGCACTAGAGTCTCACGGACAGCAGGAACCACACTGCCTCCAGAACCAGCATCTCCATCACGCCCATCAGGCACTGCTACAAAGCATTTCTTGCACTGTAAGAAAGGAGAGAACTTGGTTATAAATGCAGCATAGAAGCATTAAAGGTGGCACTGGCTTTGTCTAAATAAAACCTTTCTGAGAGGAAACCCCCACACATTTTTTTTCTCCCCAACCATTCATTGGCTTGCTTGGAGAAGAACAGAGAGAGACTCATAAAAATTCAAAATGATGATGATACAAAATAAGTCAGCATCTTCTGTAAGTAAAATACCTCAGTGGTTTTAACTTTTTTGGCTTGACAGACAAGCTGAGAAGCTCCACTTTCTTCTGCATGCTCTGGAACAGCACTGGAGAGGAAGCGCTTTGGGTGTTTCCTGGCCAAGAAAACCATTCACAAAGGGGACAGATTAGATCCACTGTGATTCTTTTCACAGATCACCAGAGAAGTTCATAAAATGGATGGCTCAATACCCCCAAATACCAAATCCCTGCTCAGCTCAGGTCATACACTGCAACTCGCACCTTTAGCTCAGATCTGAGCTGAGTTCCCTCCCACACCTCCAAATCAAGTGTCACCCCTCGGGGGCAGGAATTGCAAAACCAAGTTCTCTCTGTACCTTTGTTCTCCCACAGTGTTCTTTCTCTGGGAACAGAACTGTTGCCTTTCCAGAGCTGCCTCCTCCTCATCTTCTTGATCCTCACTCTCCTGCTCCAGATATTTACTCCAGCGACTGCCTTCTGTCCTTCCCTCCTACAACACTGGAGAATTACTAAAACCAGCAAAACATGGAGGTTCTCATTTTTGGTATTGTTACACATGTGCTGAATGCCTCAAATCATGAATCAGTTTAGGACATGCTCCTGTATCACGTTCCCAGGTTCAGTCCCCAGTGGAGCAGGTTCTGTGTACACCTCTGTCTCTGCAGGAGCCTCTCTGATTTCATACACCATTTCAGCTGTCTGCACCACATAAAGGGATCACTGGTTTCACCAGGATTCACCCAGGACAGAATGGGTTTGTATTTGCCTCAGCTTTTCAGGGATCTTACCTGCTGGACTGAACTGTCCTCATGCTGTGCTTCTCTATTTTTGCTGTCATTTACAGAGTCTTCTACACACCTAAAATAGAGGTTTAAACTACAATTTCTAGAACACGCTCCTGTCTGTTGATTTATAGGTTTCAAATCATCCAGTCATAGCACAAGGGATTGAATAGAAAGCATGGATAGGAACACTGGATAGAAGACATATCAGAAAAACCAGGACCTATGGAAAAACTTATGCTAAATGATTGCTTTACAAGATACATTGCACAAATACTTGATTAAATCTAGTTACAGGCTCTAATTGGAGCCTTCCTTGTTGCTATACAAAGTTGCAAGTTTGAGTTAAAGCCACTAATTACGAAATTATAAATTTAATTGATCACAGCTAGGGATATAACAGTGTTTGTTTGGTACAACAGTTTAAACTCACTCATTTTATCCCATGAAAGCAGGGAAAAGGGAAGTTGTTTCATAATGTTTTGAATTTCACAATTCTTTGAGAATAAAAATAGCAACACTTTTTGATAAAGTGAACAATGAGTTTTCTTCCCCAAGCTTAACTGTGAAGCACTGTGTAGTTACAACCAAGTTATATAACAACCCTTGACCGATCTCTGAAAATAACTTTGAGTAAAAAGGAGACTGCACGAGTTCAAGACCACTTCAAGATTACATGAATTATAAACAGGTTTAGAAATGAAATAAACAGGAAGGTGCTACTCAGATTTTCCAGCCCAGCAGGAATTACACTGAAGTGTTTACCCTGAACAAGTCTTTTATCACTAGCAACAGTGATTACTCAACAGATTCACAGTGTGAACCCCCTAAATGCCAACAGTTAGGCAGCAACTTCTTCAAATGGATGTTTTTTGAGGACGTAATCTGATGAGGACTGTAATCTGTAAAAGGGACATCTCCACAGTCAGCTCATCAAACAGTACATAAGGAAAACCAAATTAAAAAAAAAAAAATCAAAACCCAACAAACCCAAACCCTATTGTGTGCATATTAACGAGTAAAGTCCTGACCAACATATGCTATGGATCATCTATAATTATCTGAAAGAAATCCTTATCTAAAGAAACATGCTGGGACATTAAACCCCCAACAAAGAACTTGTTCCTGTGAGGTGAGACCAAAACCAGCACGGTCAAGGCTTCCCAGCAGGCCAGGAAACCTTGCTGTGACATGCTCCGGCTGGCCAGCAGGCACCCAGTGTGTGAAGATGCACATCAGCTGCAGCCCGCCAAAAGCCATGAGCAGGTAAAGGTTAAACACTCTACCGGGATGTCCAACCCAGCGCCTCCTCCGCTTCACCCTGCAGCAAGTTCAGCTTCTGCACGTGGCGCCTGCACTCCAGGCCCGAGCCCTGCCCATAAACCTGCACAGAACGAACGCGGACAAGGCTGAGGGAGCAGGCAGGGGGCACAGCACGGGGTGAGGGGACAGCCCCGGTGTCACCGAGGGCCGCACACGCGGCTGGGGGGGCAGGGCTGCCCTCACCTTCTGCACGGCCTGCCGCTGGCCGCACACGCTGCAGCTCCACCGCCGGCTGCGCTTGGCCTGGGAGGGCACAGAGGGGTCGGTCAGGGCCCGGAACCCACTGCCCCCGTCCCGTCCCGTCCCGTCCCGTCCCGTCCCGTCCCGTCCCGTCCCCACCTGCTGCCCCTGGAAGCGGCGGCAGCAGCAGCACCTCAGAACCCAGAACTGCTGCGCCATTGCGGTCACGTGACCCCCGCGGCGAGCCGCCAGCGCCCCTCGGCGGCGGCACCGGGAACGGCACCGGGAACGGCACCGGGAACCACGGCCGGGCAGCGACACCGGGAACGGCACCGGGAACCACGGCCGGGCAGCGACACCGGGCAGCGACACCGGGAACGGCACCGGGAACCACGGCCGGGCAGCGACACCGGGAACGGCACCGGGAACGGCACCGGGAACCACGGCCGGGCAGCGACACTGGGAACGGCACCGGGAACGGCACCGGGAACCACGGCCGGGCAGCGACACCGGGAACGGCCCCGGGAACGGCACCGGGAACCACGGCCGGGCAGCGACACCGGGCAGCGACACCGGGAACGGCACCGGGAACCACGGCCGGGCAGCGACACCGGGAACGGCACCGGGAACTACGGCCGGACAGCGACACCGGCAGCGGGACGGGCTCTCCCCTCTCACAAGCCAAACGCATCAGGTCACCGGCCGAGCGCCCTTCCCGGGGGCAGACGCCGCTTTGCCGGGGCCGGCTGGCGGTGCGTGACCTCCGTGCCTGCAGCCGCATCGGCACCGGTCAGGTTCGTACCGACCTGCAGATGTATTGGTCTGTGTCAAAAATAGGTTAGAAACTGGTGTAAAATAGTTGGTAACTGTTAAGCATTGTTAGTTTGGTTGTTATAGTGTAAAAGGAGTTCAAAGGGTAGTTATAAGAAATACGGTACTCAATGTACCGTATTACACCTAAGTAAAGTGCATTGCCCCCCAAGCGAAACGAGCCAGCCTGGACAGAGCTGTAATGGCCAATCGAGCGCCTTAAACCTTCACGCAAATGAAGGATCCAAACAGAAACGAAAGGGACAAAAAACAGGACAAAAAGGGGCATCTGAGCCAGTGAACCTGTGCCGCTCCTCCTGGAACATCGGGGACGTGGCTGCTCGAGAAAGAAGACGCAGCGCCGCGCTGCAGCATCCTCGAGGGGAACGCTCCTGCTCGGCCCGCGGGTCCCCACGCTTCAGGCCTTATTATAATAAATGTTGAAATAACTTTTAGTACTGGGAATGTGGTTCCGTTTTTAACAGTCTGTAAAAAATAAATCTACAGAGTAATAAGGAAAAGGGGGAAAAGAGGGGAAAAAAAGGATGAAAAAAAAATAAAAAACAAGGGGGGAAAAAGAGGGGGAAAGAGGGAAAAGAAAGGCGGGAAAAGGGGAAAGAAAATAAAGGAAAAAACAGGAAAAATGAAGGAAAAAAGTAAAGGAGAAAAGAAAAAATATGAAGAAAACTAAAAAAAAAAAAAAAGAAAAAGAAAAAATTAAAGAAAAAATGAAGGAAAGTCCACTTGTTGGAAAATATACCAAGTTAAAAATTTTTTACCTAACTTTAGTTATGTAAAAAGGGTTTCATTCGCCTTTGCCCCGGAGAAAGAAATTTTCTTTTCAAGAATTGTTTCATCACTCAAGACATGATGAGTTTAACGTCTCAGCGGACTGGGAGTAGCACAGAAGATACACAAAAGATAACGACCATTAACGACCATCAACTCCAAACAGCACCCCTGGCACGGTCAGGACACCTGGTCCAGCAAAGACCGATAAGAGAACCAAGGAATGATAAGAGAACCAAGGAACGAGGGCCACATTAGCGTCGGAAGTGAAGAACTCTGTTACCAAAAGAAACTAAATACTAAGGACTGTGTACCTTGGGACCAATGAACATTGAACAAATTAATTTCTATGGGTTTTAATTCTATAAGTATCTGAAAAATCTATTTAAGAGCCATGTGTCATGGAACGATTTTTTCTGCACACCTGGGCTAGGTGTGGCTGAAATTATTTCTTTGCACACCCTAGACAGAATAATGCAATGCCTTGATTCTCTAATATTAAAAATGTTGGAGGGTTTTCTTTTCCCCACAGTTTTGGTGACACATTCTTTCTGAAACTGGGTAAAGAACCAGCAATATTCCAGAGCTCAGAGAGAAATAAAAGGTAGCCAAATAGTCTATAGGATTCTGATTCATTTATTGAATACATGACAAGTAAGACAGACAGTGTAAAATCACATGTATTATTCGTACTTAAAAAATTACAATAAATTACTGAATAATTAGTAAAAGCAGTTTTACTAATGGCTGCTCTCCAGTGATACAGGACAGAGGAGGCAGAAAAATAAGAAGTATGTACCAGCTGTGAATACAGACCAAAAATGTCATGAGGATGAATTAACACTGAGTAGCACACCAAGTAGTGTCAAATGGGAACATCCACACGTGTCCTTCCTACCTTTAGATCCCAAGTGCCAGCCAAAAGCTGGATCACACCTTGCCTTCAGTGCAGGGTCTGCTCTGGCCGAGCAGCAAGTCTCACCCTGCCCCTGCAAGGCCACTGACTCTGTGCTGAGATGAATTTATCTGTAGTAACAGCATTACTTCTCCCTTGGGGAACATACCCTGCTACCAGAAGGGCTACTCATAGTTTCCTATGGGTTTAATTTCAAAGAGCACTCACTAAGTCTCCCAGTTACTTTGTCTCTAACTGGAATGAGCTCTGGTACTCCCGCAAGGGGCTGATGGCAGAGCCACGCTGCTCTGTATTCTTCCCCTTTAGGTCAAATGCCCTTGGATGTGCAGCTGTTTCTAAGAGCCATTGCTAAACTCTCAAGGAAGGACACTGAGCAGCAGTGGGTGGCACAGGGCTCCTGCACAGCTTCTGCCCCAAGCATTTGTGAGGGCTGACTGATCAGATAATTCTTAGGGGTATTCCTAAAGGGTCCCTAAGGTCCTCCTCCTAGGAGGTCCTCCTTAGGGGACCATCACTAGCTAGGAAAAACGGAATCAGCACTAAATAGTGAATGCACCATCAGGGAAAGTCCAGCAGACCAGTGTGCCACTCCCCTGGAATGCTGAGGCTGATTCACTGACTTCTATTTTAGGAACTTATTCCCTCATTATAACCATCATGAGCTCACTGATTGACTCAGTATCACTTCTGCACTGAAGTCAAGGAGCTTGTGGCTTCCCAGACAAACTAAAAACAACAGCTTTCAAAGAAACAGAAAAGCAAATGCTAGAAAACCAGGTTTGCCTGAAAATTCCTGAATTCTGAAGGAGAAAGTAATTGATCGTGCACTATGAAAATGCCAAATCACATGTGAAAGAAACCTGCAGGTCTGAGCAATGTCTGTGTTTAGGTCTTAGGGTGCTGGGAGCAGTGGGGCACATTTGCTTTACAGCTGCTGAGTCACAGAACAGCTTACAAGAACGTACAAGATTATTTATAGGTCAGAGTCCTACAGCACTTGACTACACTGCATTAGCTCTCAGACTGGCAGCCAGAGGTGAGCATGGTTTCAAGCCAGGCTGCATCTGCTGTGCAGTTACCCAGGAACCTACAGCAAACAAGGGCAGGCAAGGAGCAGTTACTGTCTGAAATAAAACTTCATTGAAATAAAAGATAGCAAAAGGCAGACATGCATAATTTATGGTGGTAATTCTATATGTCAGGGGCTATTAGGTTCTAATGGCTCTCAAGAATGTAAATCTAATTCTCTCAGCCAGAGTAGCCAAAGAAACACCTACACAGTCGCTGTCAGGAGCCCCTTATCAATTGGATTCTATTGTAATTGTGTAGTTACTGAATACACAAAAAAAAAAAAACCCAAACAGAAAATACCAAACCATCCTGCCATCTGCCACACTATCTTCTTGTTTTATCTCCCAAAGACAACTCCTGAATTCCTGAGCTCACCCTGATGCAGAGGAAAGTTCATAGTCACTGGATGAACTGAACTGCCTCTCTACTTTCTTCTGATCCTTGATCTTTTGAAGAATGTTGACCTTTTTCTCAAAGTAGTTTACAAGGGCTGTTTCTGTCAGCATGGAGGCCAAGATCTGCTCGAAGGAGATGGACCAGTCAGTGTCAATGGTGCTGCCATACCTGGCTGCTGCACTGCTGCCCTCACAGCCCACCAGCACCGTGTCGTCGGCGATGTCTTCGCACTGCAGGGAGCCTGTGCTGACCATGGAGTAGGAAGACATGGACATATCATCTTTGGTTTCATCATCTGATAGCAGCTGTAAAGGAGAGCCTTGTCCTTCCCCTGACCCATCTCCTAGAGTCTGGTTTTCCTGCTGGGTTTTTTCAGGCTGAGCATCAACACTGGCTTTGTCCTCATGGTCAGCTTGGGATTGCTGCTCCACTGCTGAATTCTGACTCTGTTCAGATGTTGGTGACTCCTCTTCACTCACAGGATCTTGGGTACTGTTTGCTTTGCAGTCCTCAGACTTCCTCGTGGGCTTGTTGGAGAATTTTTTTCCAACTTCGCCAATCCTCAGCAGCAGACTGGCCACAGTGGCGATGGCATGGTACAGCTCCTGCTCCACAGGGTCCTCACTGAACATGTTGTAAAGGGTCTTGCATAACTCTATGAACTGTTCCTTTAAAACACAAAGACCAAATAATCATGTATCAGGCTGAAAAAAGTTGCTAGTGGTGGATGAAGCAACAGGCACCATCTCAAATGACTCACTGCTTATTTGCCTCCCCACCAAGTGGCAACTTACTGCACTGATTCAGAACAGTCTGACACAGACAAACTCCCCCCTCTGTGTTGTGGCTAAATTGAGACACAGCTAGCAATTTAATAGTGGTGGGTTTTCTGCTGACAGATGAACAGAATAGTCACATATTCACTAATGCTAAGAAAAGTTTGACTTCTATTCTGCTACTCTTCTGTGGTCAGCTTCTAAGAATTTCTGAACTGGTTTAAGTAGCACCCATCAAGGAAATTAGAGACAGAAAAGATCACACCAGTCATCTGACTCTCTCTTCTGTAACCACATTATTCACTCTCCACCAAGCAGCTGTAACTTGAAGCAATGCAAAAGCAAAAAAGCTGAAAAAGTTTCTGTGACTGATGGCATATTTCAAACATCCTGCTCTGGAGGGAAAACAGAGTGCAGTTCTTACAGGAAAACTGGTCTGAAGTGAGGCTGAGTGAATCCATTACATTTGATTGGTT